GAAGGTAGATTTAGTGTACTTCAAATGGTTCATTAGGCTGCTTCTTCCTCCATCTTTGTTCTAGATTGACCTATTATTGTACACTTATAACAAGATAATGTATCACTGGGTTCTCTGGATTCTACCACAAAACAGAAACAGTGTTCTCACTGAAATCTGTATATTTCTACAATAGTTCTGCAACCCCTAGGAGAGCTATTCAGAGACCTAAGTGGCAATAGAGTAGGGTTGGTACAGCAAAAGCTGACTGAAACTACTGTTATAATCTTATTTTTTTAAACCAATTTTCAGGAACATTCCACTTAATAGGCTTTCTTAATGGCCTTCTTTGTCATTTTGAGACAACACAATCATTTTATTTTTCTGCTTCTGTACTGAAGGTTCATACTTTGTCTGGCTTCTCCTCCTCTATGTTAGCCTTAAATATTGGAGTTTCTTCCTAAGGAGGTTCATTCACTTTTAAAGCTTTAAATGCCATCTTCTTGCAGAAACTGCAGCATGGATATGCTTAGCCCTCACCTGTCCTCCCCACCAGATTAGTGCCAATTGCTTCCTTAACTTTCCACATGGTTGTCTTAGAAGTATCTCACGTAAAAAGGTAAAAAGAAAACAAAACCAAACATTAATAAAATGACAAAATAAAACCACTGACAACACCATTTTCTGATGAAGGTGGAGAGTAACTGAACTTCCATATTTTTATAGTTGGTATAGCTTCTTACAACCACTTTCAGAAACTCCTTGTAGTATCTTCTAAAGATAGACTTACATATCCCTAAAACCCCCAAAGTCCACTTTTAGTAAATGCCCAATAAAAAATTCCTACAAAAAAAAAATTTCAATCACATTAGGCTCAAAACAGCTGATTTGCTGCTCTCAACCTCTCCCTCCCAAACTTCCTTAGCTAATCAAAAGCATTATTCAAACTATTTTGTAGCTTTCTTTCTGTCACCTGCCACATCCAATTCAACAGTAACTCTCATTAGTGCCACTAACAAAGTATATCTCCATTTCCTTTCCATTTGCTCTTACACCACCCTATTTTAAGCCTCTATCACCTTTTTCTTGGGCTATTGCAATACTATCTCACTTTCCCCATATTCACTTTTTCCCAGCAACCTTAATTTCTCACACTTAACTGTCAAGGTAAATGTACAAATTGTAAATTACATCACATCACTCTTGCTTCACACTATTCTATGATTTCCTATTTCTATTGGAATAAAATTCAAACTCCTTACCAAAAATAAACAGTTTGTTATGCTCTCATTCCTGAATATTTCTCAAACTTCATTATTTATTCCATTTTTCTTACTCATTATTCTTCAAACACATTGGCTTTTTTTTCACTGCCTAAAACATGCCAAGTTCTTCCCTATTCCAAGAAATTTTCATTAACTTTCCTAGAATATTGCCTCTATGGCTGCTTCTCATCCCTTGGTTATCACGGATCCTTCCCTAACAAGCCCAGTAAACAGCATTCTCACTATTGAATATAAGAATATCCTCTCTAATGGCTCCATAGCTCAAATGCATTTGTTCTTGTGTTACTTGTTTTTTCCCCTTGTGCACTGAAAACCCTATAATGGTAGGTTATTATAATGCCTGGTGCACCACAAATAGCTCTTGAATTGTATGACTACAATTATTAAAGTTTATAAAGAAGATATTACTGAAAGCATTTAATATGTTTTTAACTAAAGGGAAGTTATGTAAATGGTGAATCAAAGCATGTAAATACCAATGCATTTTGACTATTGTCTAGGCTGGATGCCAGCCTAATGCTATAGAAAGATGTGACAAATGAACTAGTAAGTAAAAACCAATCACCTGTCCTTACATTGAGCTATTCTCAATGATATTCTAAGTCAAAGGCAGAATGCTTTTCTCTGAAATAGAGATTTAATTATTCTAGTTATGCCAAATTGATTATAATTCTTACTAACCTGAGTCAGTAGGAAACATAGACATTTAAAAAGTCCATAGCTCAATGGGTTTGGTATTAGATGCTCTTTATTGCTTTCTTACTTATTGTGTACACCAGATTATCTACCCCCAAAGATTGATACCTTTTTTTGAACTTCTTAAGTAGACCTCACTTTTGTTTTATTGGCAAAGTCAAGATACCATCAATTTAATAACGATTGATTGTGTAGCTCTTATGGGACACCAATTCTCTAACTTCACTCCACTTTAGAGAATGTAGAAACAAAGTAGTCAACCAAGAACTGTTCATTGGTCTTGACAGACAGTTCTTTAACCAGATGACCTGTAAACATGTCCTGGATTCAGTTCACAGTTCTCAGTTGTGATTAATTTTGTGAATGAGGAGATGTTGTTTAAAAAAAAAATCTCAATCTAAAAGTCTTTTGAAAATCTGTTATGATTAAGGCAGTGTGCTTGGCACTCTGAAGGCTACAGTGATGATCAGAAGTGATTCCTACTCTCAAGGAATTCACAGTCAAGGAAAAGGTTTATTTAATAAATAACTACATACTATAAGGTAGAAGACATCCAGTTCCACCATAGAGGTGAGAAATAAAGTGGTGCAGAAATTCAAAGGATAAGACGAATTTCCGATGGGAGTATTAGGAAAGCTTTCACAGAGGTTTGAAAACTAAGTAGGACCTGGATGTGTGAAGTAGGAGGACAGAGAACAGCATTTTTTTTTTATCAAAACAAAAATACGAAATCAGAAAAATGCAGGGAATGCATTGAGAAGAAGGAATAGGTCAACTTGGTAAGATCAAGAGGTATATGTAAGGGGAGAAGAGGAGAGATTTTAAGGTTGGAAAAGTAGCTTGGCACTCTATTTCAGGAACATAAAACTTAAGGAAAGTGGGTGAACTTCATATTATAAACATTGGGGAGTCATACAGCACTAGATATGACGGCTGTGATATGAGTAAGTGATGAAACAGGAAGCTGTGGGCAGGAATATTGGAGAAGACATGACAGGAAGGTTTCTCAAAGGTTTATGATGGTGATATGAGTGGATATGTTGGAGTTAGTTTCAACAGATCCTGGCAACTCTTTAGATGAGGGGAGTAACAGGGATTCAAATGTGGTTCAAAACATTTCAAACTGGTTGACTAAAAGTTATATCCTTGAAATAAATGGACAATATAGAAGAGCAGCTTTTAGAAAGAAAATTTTATATGCAGGTTGAGAAGTATCAATATTGTATGCTGGTAGAACACAAAGTATGGAATCTCAGGTGAGGTACAGTCCTTCGATCATTGATTGAGGTTATCAGAAATTCTGTGAGGTGATGAATTATTCAAAAAAGGAAATTATAGAGAGATAAAAGATGTTTGATGATAGACAATTAGGATGCCCACATTAATTTGGGTCAGGAAAAAAGTAGAATAAATAAACAACGGAGGAGTGTTGAAAGGATAAGGAGAGTCTAATGTCATAAAAACCAATACAGGAAACACTTTTCAAAAAGTAAGAGCCCATGAATGTCAAAGTATGCCTTCTAAATATGTAGCAGCTAAAAAAGATAGCAATTAAGAAAAGGTTTCTACTTGTCTCAAATTGATAGTCATCATTCATTTTCCAAAATGAAATATAGAAGCAATGTGAACCAATGGAAAAAAGATTGGACATTAAAATCAGAGAAATTGGCATCAAGGTCTGATTTTGTGTGGTTGAGCAATGCACTTGGGGTAAAATTGCTTTATTTCCCTAGATCTTAATTTATTGACCATAAAATGGGGATGATACTCGAATCAAAGTGCTGTGAGATTAAATTTAGTAAATCAACATATGGATAAAAAGAAGCTGTTGGAAATAGGTCTGTTAATCCAGTTCTCTTTTGAGCATTTGCTTTCCATGAACTTCCAGATGATCATGTGTTATGGAAAAACTTACCTGAGTTTGTGGGGGTTTAGGTTAAATTAATCATGACCACAAATTGCAAAATATTCAGCCTTGGCCCCTAATCCTTCCTGTGCAAAGCTGAATACAGGAGAGAGCAGATGGAATAGGTTTACTCTGAAGGTCCTGCCACAGCAAATGTTCAAGACAGAATGGTGTCGAGAGGTTCAGAGGCTGAGCAGTTGGAATGACAACAACTGTGTCCTTGATGCTTGCTTTTGCATATCCTGGTGCTTAGCAAAATGCTCATAATAGAGACTCAGTAAGACTCAAAACAGCCAAACAAATAGCTATTTTGTCCTGTTTGGAGAGATTTGGCTCAAATACAATTCTTAAAAAAAGAATTTTTAAAAAAGATAAAGCTTTGATTGGAAACAAATATTTTAGGAAGATGGTGCAATCTAATGGGGTATTGGTGGCAAGCAACTAGACAGATGTGTATGCCAATGAATACTTGCCACAAATACAATGTTGTATATATTGACAAAAGATAAACATCCCCTAAACCAGGAGTCAATGATGGAAACAAAAGGAAAAGAAAGTTGGAGACATAAATCAAATTCTCATGCTGTTTCTAACTTGTAGACAACAGAGAGACAATGGTTACTTACACTTAGATCTGTTCTTATTAATAAGTAGAGAGGCACACAAATAAAGAAATATAATACCAGATGCCATTTATTTCTTGTGAAAATTAATCTTTTCTTTAGTAAACAGTAGGATTGTAATCGATAAATGCTGTACCAATGGTCACGTGACTAGTCTTGCCCGTTGCTCTGGGTATCATGGTGTGCACAGCAAAGAAAAGCGCTGAGATTCCATACTGCTAAAAACACAAATGACGTATTTTGTATTAATAAAAGATAGTAAAATTCCATGTCAAATTGTTTCAAGGTTTCTTTCTCTCTTGAGTCCATTCACATGTACTATGTAGAGCTGGAACTTCCTTGTGAAGTTCTTTTCAGCAGTCATGCACCCTACGACTATGCATAAAGGGAACGAGTGTTTGCTAGATGGGAAACCAGAACCTGTGGTTTACATATTTCTTCCTTAAACACTGCAATCAGCCAGATATTTATCGTCTCCTTCTCCCTCCCCGCCCTGTGGTTGCTTCGCAGGCCACGGCACATGTTCCTGTGGCCGCTGCATGTGTGAGAGAGGATGGTTTGGGAGGCTCTGCCAACATCCCAGGAAGTGCAACATGACGGAGGAACTGAGCAAGAGTCTGTGTGAGTCAGCAGATGGCATACTGTGCTCCGGAAAGGGTGAGTGTCTGCCCGAGCTTGGCCTGGATCCCTGCTGGGACACGTGGTTCCTATAGCAGCCCATAGCAAACACCTCTTTCAGACTGCACTTTGGCGTGAATGAAAATCACTCCATCCTCTGTTTGTACCAGCCCTTATTAAGTTTGAAAGTGAACCACGTGAAGTGTAATATCCAAGAAAATGAAATGCATGAGATGGGTTGCATGTGAAAAAGATTCTCAGCCACTTGTATACAACCTGATGGTGAATGAAATGCAATTAATAATTGTATAAAGAGCCCAAACCGGTTTGGCTCAGAGGATAGAGCATCGGCCTGCAGACAAAAGGGTCCCAGGTTCGATTTCGGTCAAGGGCATGTATCTTGGTTGTGGGCACATCCCCAATAAAGGATGTGCAAGAGGCAGCTAATCAATGTTTCTCTCATTGATGTTTCTGGCTCTCTATCCCTCTCTCTTCCTCTCTGTGAAAAATCAATAAAATATCTTTTTAAAATAATAATAATAATAATAATTGTATAAAGAAGAAAGAACTATAAGATATGTTGGGACCTGAATGGGCCCCCAAAGATAAAGGTATAATCATTGAGTTCACCTGTAAAATAGCAGAGCCCGGGAGGGCTCTGCATAAAACGCTCTGGAAGCTCATGGGATTCTCACCAAATGTTAGGGAACTGCCCCATCTGGAACTGAATGTCATTCTCCAGCTCTCCTCTTCAGCTCAGTGACCTCCTTGCAGGACAAACAACCTCCCTTTTCAGACTTTTAGAGCTGAAGCTACATCTACTCTCCAACACCTACCCTGGGTCAGGAGTGCAGGTAAATGTGTTTCTGAAGAAAAAAAAAACAGTGAAGCAAAGTCAGTATACTGAGAAGGTCTCAGCAAAACTCGCGTCCGGGATGTGCCCCTCAATCATCACCGAGGCCAATGCTCTCTGGATAAAAAAAGGCCTCTTGACGTCACTGCAAAAAAATGAAATCAGATGGATGTGGTGACCATATTTGGTGCCAGAAGGAAGGTTGAAAATGGATACAAACATGCTCATTTTAATAGATAAGCATGTCCTTGGTTTCCAGGAATTCTTTGTTTGAGATTGGTGTTTACAGAGTTCTGGCAAGGAGGCCTTGCCTTCCACCTAATGCAATTACAGCAGCCAAGCAGCACTTAAATGCATTTAAAGCAATCACTTTGTTCCCCATTTGTTCTCGTATGGAATCTGTTCTAATTCCAAGTTCTAATCAAATCTCTCAACATTTCAGTTCTCAGGGGCCCTCAGGTCCTGGATACACTTGCTCTAGGTTCAAGGAGTTCTGTTGGCCTTGGAAGGTTTGGCTCAGTTGGGTGGGCATCCTCTTGTGCACTGAAAGGTTGCCAATTTGATTCCCAATCTTTTGGGAATCATCCCAGGTTTTGGGCTCCATCCCAGCTAGCATGTCTTACTCTCATATCACTGTTTCTTTTCTCTCTCTTCCTCTCTCTTTCTCTCTCTCTAAAATTCAATTTAAAAACTTTTTAAAAAGAAAAAAGAAGCTCTGTTGGTAGAAGGAAGGAAAGGGTAAAAGGAAAAGACAGAGGGAAGGAATTGCCTGGGAAGAGATTAACAAAGATAACAGTAAAGGTGATAGGAATAGAATTAACTATTAGGGTGGAAATGGAAGGAGGGGGGCGGGAAGAAATTTTATCAGGTCAGAAGGGACTGTCCTGTGTATAAAAAAATAGTAAGAATGACTAATTTGTTTGAATTAGAGGTGTTTTTTTTTTGTTGTTGTTGTTGTTTGTTTTTTCCCCCCTGAGTATAGCTTCAAACAGTGCTAGCTTTTAGATACTTTTGTTGCTGTAGTTGTTGGTTTTCATGAAGGCATTATCCTTGAAATAAGGCTATTAGCTTTTCTGAGAAATTCTACTGAATGAAACTTTTTTTATTAGAACATTGGTGTGCTTATTTTAAAAATCATTTTGTGTGTGTGTGTGTGTGTGTGTGTGTGTGTTTCCTAGACAATATAAAATCACTAACATTGTTCATAAGTGGATCTTTGCTAGTCATGTCCAATTGCCAGTATAGGAAGAGAACACACACACACACACACACACACACACACACACACACAGACACACACACAGTCGTGCTCACCTGTGTGGTAAATACCATTCTGTCATTTCCTAGCTGAATTTCATGCAAAGAAGAGGGTAGTTTGTTTTCAAGAAAAAAACGTTTCATTAAAGTCATTACATTCTGAGGAGAGATTTTCAGCATCATAAATATAGAAAAGGCCCCCCCAAAAGGTGGTGAACTCAAAGGCATTTCCCTTAAAACAAAAATGAGAAAATCTCCCTAGTTAATGCCTTTTTCAGATTGCTTGCTTTAGGCGATGGAATTATATCTACAGATCAATGAGGGTTGAAAGCGTATATTATAAACTGTTTGTTTATCTTTCAATGGAGAGAGTTCTGTAAAAGGAGACTGGCTGTAAAAGCTGCCTTAAGGCTGCATGCTTTCAAGCTGGCATTGGAGAGGACGGTGGGCATTCTGTTTGCAGCCTCTGGCTGCAAGCTCCTTTCTTCCCACTCATTCTGGAGACGTCAGTGCTGGATTCTAGAAGAACAGGATTAAAACCAAGACCATGGAACTGTGCTCTCCCAGAGGCACAGAGACCAGTGGGGATGCAGCTGTTATTGCTGTCTCCTTAGAGGTTACCATGCACCTCTCACCTCAAGAACCAGAGAAAGAGCTTTTGCTGGTTTGGCTCAGTTGATAGAGCATTGGCCCTTATATTGAAGGGTCTTGTTACAGGCTTGAAATCCAGCCCCAGCAGGGAGGGGCATGTGTGGGAGGCAACCAGATGATGTATCTCTTTCACATCAATGCTTTTCTCTTCCCCTCCCTTCCACCCTCTTTAAAAATCAAACCTCCAGTGAGAATTAACAAAACAAACAAACAACAACAACAACAAAAAAAAAACCCAATAGAAAGTGTAACTCCTGGAATGGACAACAGGTTTTGACAAGGTAGCCGAGAAACCTATTCCAAGTTATTTGACTGGGGTCAGGTATTTATTAATAGGTCTCATGGACTTGCCAGAATTCCATATACTTTCCCTCAACATGGTAAATGAAAACCCCTCACCTTGATCTTCATAAAGGTAATTGGAGTGTTTTTCTTTTTCTGACGAGGGGACAGGGAGGAGCAGGGAGCCTGAGGTCACTGCCTGGTAGCCTGTACCCAACTGTTTGCACCATGCGCTGCTCACGATCTGTGAATAAAGCCGTCACCTCAGGAGATGATGAAGAAATAGCGTTTTATTTCTTTACAAATGTAGAGCCGAGACAATAAATCACTCCATAGAAACATTTAAAACTAGATACATTGTTGTGACCTTCATGACAGATGGAGTTGTGAGTACAGTGGTGAAAACTGCCTGCTGGGATGTTGGTTGCAGCATTTCCTCAGGCTTGATGAATGGAAAAGCAAGTCCACTTTGTAAATGGGGCAGCTAACAAGGGTGCTCGCCCTTACACTCAGGCTGTTTATGTGAATAACCAAAGAACGGAGCTTAGAACCAGGTTTAGCTCCCTTTGCAGAATCCATGCTGTCATTCATGTGCTGTTTGCTTGCTTGAGTATTTATGTGTATCCAAGAGTACATAATCACCTTTCTGAAGACGCCTGTAATTACAGATCACTAAATATCTCCTTAGAATTCTTGCAATGGCACTGTTGAGTCCCACATCATCCGAATGAGTCCATGGTACACCCACCCACTCACCTATCCATCACCTACACACCCCATCCTGGCAGGTTCTCCATCCCTGAAAAGAGACAGGGTAAAAGTTAGGCTTCAAAAACCAGAGTTGGACCAGTGTTTCAGTTGCCTCACCCAATATAATTGTCAGTAGAAACACACAACTCATTATTTGAAACCATATGAAGGTTTTTCTTGTGAGAGGCATCACAGATAGGCAGATAGGTAGATAAAACAGTAGATGGAATCAGATTAAAATCTTTTTTGCCCCCGTGGCTCTGGACAATTTCATTTTCTCATCCTTGAAGGCAGAAGAATATTTCTTTCCCCTTCTTAAGTTCTAAGAATGCTCTGAAGACACATGAGAAAATGTGGCTGAATCCCCAAGGAATGGAAGCCACTAAAAAAAGCAGAAGGGGATGGAAGCATTCTTAAGGGTCCTCACACTGAGAAAGAAAATAGATTAGTGGTGTCGTGGTCATGAATTTACCACCCTAGAGTTCCTGCCAAGATGGACCAGCTTCTCCCTACTCTGGACCGAGTCTCATGGGCGCGAATGGGTGCCAGTCCAGCTGAGCTGAGTAATCGGTCACCTCCTGGCAGCCATGTGACTTATATTGGTCTGACAGAATCCTTTCCCTAAGATTTTCCCTTTCCAAAGTAGGGCGATTTGACCCCTGCTTACTGATGAAGAGGGCCAGGTCGCTCTATAACAAAGGCGCTATAAAACATCCTAATAATGATCAAGCTGTGTTGTTATTACATGCTATGCTACTCCTAGTTTCACAAGCAGTAGAAGAATTTCCTACCTCTGAGATGCACTGAGAATTCACAAAGAGGAAAGAACAGCCCAGCTGGGGAAAACGCTGATGAGAGAAGCTCGTTTTTCATAGCACATACAAAAATCAATCCCCATTTTTCACTCTAAGTATTTCAGTGACTAGCAGACTTCTGGAAATACAATGAACTTGTCAAATGGCCTACCCTTGTATACCACACTCACTTTAGCTGAGCTGACCAGTTTTAGGAAAATACTATACAATGGCCTGAAGCTAAGCATTGGAAGTGAGAACAGTGATCAGAATAGTTCTAGAGCCAGGGGACAAGTCTAAAGATGAAATGTGATTTTTCCCCCCTCATGAATTGTGGCCAAAAAGTATATCCTAGGTGTAATAAATATTATGGACATATAAAGTCATTTACATCTCCATCTGTTATAGAAACAATATTGAAATATAAAGGGGATGGTATTTTAAAAACAATTAAAAACAGTGGAATTCTTCAAATAAGCTTCCTCCACTCATAAAGCACTAAATGTGATACCTTCTGAGGGAATGCTAATGAAGTCATTAGAATGCCCCAAGTTTTCCAATATTGCTCTATCCATTTGCAAAATGTACAGTTGACTGTTGAACATTTCTCTGCCTAGAGATTTGACAGAGAGTCTTTAAAATTAGAATAAATAAATTTCTAAATAAAGGAACACTCTACGTGGGTGAGACTACCAACTCTCACAGAACTAGCCTGGGAGGCCCAGTTATAGGCCCTAAGCAATGGGTAGGGTACTGATCACTCATTAGAATTGAAAGTTGTACTGAAAGTTGTCTATTTTGCAACCTAGCCCCTCAGTAAAACAAGTTTATGGAACCATGCTGCGGTTAAGTAAGAAGTTAATAAATGTAAACACAGTTCTCAGCATGTAACTAATTCTGGCTGCTCCCTTAACCTGAGAAGTGTGACAAGGAATATCAAAAGTTTAATTTGGCCATTGGGGATTCTTGCAGCTAAAATGCATATACGAGTTTCCATAATATAAAATAGCATGGGGTGCTTAATGTCTGGGCATCCTTTCATGACAGCAGCCATGCATAAAAGTTTCTTTCTCTAACCATTTTTTAATTGCAATGTTTCATAGAGACACTAATGATTGATTTTCGCTTCCTCCCAGCATATTTTGAATTTACCAAGTCTGTTATTTTATTGAATATGTCAAAATAATTTTTCCACTCCACAGTCTTTTAAAAGGAAAGGCATCTTTGGTAAAAAGAAATCACATGTAGAAAGAGCAATCAATCCAAGGAAATAGAAGGAAGAGGTAGGCTATTCTGTGTGTTTATTTTTAACTTGAAAACTTTCTTTACTGCTATTGTAGAAATAATTTTGCCATATGAAAACGTTTAGGATGAGAGAAATTTGTCCTCTCTCTGACATCATTGAATTCATACATTTTCTTTTCTAAATGTGCCATTAACAAAAGGGTTTTTCAGCAAGCCAAAATATCTTTAATAACCAAAAAGGAAGTTTTTAATTAGGTAGGAAGTAAAAAAAGAGGAAATGAGTGAAGTAATGGGAAAGGTGGTTGGATCAAGAGCCTCATAAAAGATGGACATTTGAGGGGAGGGATTAGAGTTCTCCTGGATTATGGCAGGAAATCCCAAAGGTGAGATTGGATAAGTTAAATATATATGAGTGATTGTACGTGTATTTTTAGCACTTTAATGAGCCACCCAGTAGGCAGGTGAGTCCTTACTTTAAGGAAAATCATGTAAACAAAAATCCAAAATTATAAGCATAATAAATTTAGTAGTTGTTTTAATTATAAGTTGCACCCTTGTTTAATAAAACTTACTATTCAATTCCTTTAAAAGACAGACACTTTGAAAAAATGACTCAATTCAGAAAAAAAATTTAAAAACACATACATTTTTAACACCTTTTTGGAAGGCTATCTATAAAAATCAGCCACATTCCACCCTCATTGACATTTCAACCAGACTGAGCCACAGAACATTTGCTCAAGGCTAATTGCAACTGTCTAGATCCATAATGAAGCCTTTCCAGTTAACCTTTGTGAATTACAGTAAGGAAAGCTCCCTTTTGAGCAACTGGCTGTTCCATAAACGTTCACCTTTGGAAGGTAGGTTATTAGAAGCCGATTCTCAGTACGTTGATGGTATTCTACTCTGGGCGGAAACCTTTAGTTGTACGGCAACAATCAATAACACTCTCTGTGATTTCAGGTTCTTGTCACTGTGGAAAGTGCATTTGTTCTGCCGAAGAATGGTACATTTCAGGGGAATTCTGTGACTGCGATGACAGGGACTGCGACAAACACGATGGTCTCATTTGCACAGGTGTGGTCCTGGCCCACTCTAATTGATCTATGCCACATTTTGCAATAAAGGTGAAAGACACTGATGGCATTTTGCTGTGGATCACTGGGCAGGAGAGCTTTCCTGTACGTAAAGGGAGGTGGGCATTTCAGAATAAGCACCATCATTATTCCCAGGCATAAATAAGAATGCACACAAATTATATGATTTTGGGGGAAATTCCATATAAAGTAACTTCCCCCAATGTACATATATGCAGTTTTATATATTGCAAAAAAGAAAATAATTCTCTTGACAACTATATCACTTTTAGCACGATGTAGGGACTAGAATATATTTTAAATAGGAGCCAGGCATCAAAGCTGTTTGATGTGTTAGTTTGATTTTAGGGAGGGGAATATGTGTGTGTTGGGGGTGGTGGGACTATGAAAACAACTTAGGAATATAATTTACACTGCTATCCTGAGTTTCTGAGTCCTAATGATTGGTAATAAAATATTTTCTTAAACAATCTACAGGGGAAATAGAGGCACATATTTACTCTCCTTGTTTTTAACTACAGGAAAAAGATGAGTGTGTGTCATTAGGTTAGACATTCATGTTCTACCCACTCCTACTACACAAGGCTCCTATTCTATCTAATTATTCAGCCTACTTCATCCTATGTCAAGGATCTGCATGTTCTTTAGCATTTATTGTTACACATAACCTGTTCTCCATAGAAAAACAAAATTATACATGGAAGCCCAGCTGAAGTGATTCTGATGGTCATCATTAGATTGATACTAACTGGATGCTAGCACCAACGAGGTGCCATTAATTGTTTAAGAGGTCAGATTTCCTACAGCTGTTTAAAAAGATAATAATAAGATGGCTGCACAATAAGAAAGTTTTCAGAGGATGAATGAAATTGCTTTGATTATGAACAGTTATGTTTTATAATAACATAGGTTAGCTTGGTCTATTTCAATCATAATAATGAATCTCCTGTGTATTTTACTGCAGGTAATGGAATTTGTAGCTGTGGAAACTGTGAGTGCTGGGACGGATGGAATGGAAACGCATGTGAAATCTGGCTTGGCCCAGAATACCCTTAACAATGAGAGAGGACTAGGTTCCTATTTGTCTAGGCCATTAGAGATATAAATGCAGAGGAAACCATGTATAATCACCACAAGGACAGGTCCAACAGACCGTTGTATGTTTTTCTATTTCTGAAAGCCTGAATGAAATCTGGATACCCATTAAAAAAGGAGTTAAGCAAACTCAGATGTAAATAACACCAGGAAAGAAATTTTCTCCTACAATTTACATCAGTAGTTCTCAACAAGGGTGACTTTGTCACCCAGAAAACATCCGGCAATGTCTACAAGTGATTTTGATTGTCACACTGGGTGGGGCTGGAAGGTGCTTTTCAGGCATTTGGGGGGTAGAGGCCAAAGATACTGCTACACACCCAACAGTGCACAGGATAGCCCCCACGAAGGATTTTCTGACTTCAAATGTCATTAGCTGCAGAGAAAAGCTGAATTACATGGTGGTTAAAAATGTACATCCCTACACAGAAAGGACCATTTTAGACTCTAAGGAAAACAGCCTTACATAAATCCATTGATCATATGTTGCCAGGATACCCCATCACTCAGTGTTTCCGTATGGAAATGAAGACATACACACTTGACGTACAATGTTGAATTGGGGAAGGGGGGAGTAGGGGCCAGAGGCCAGATCATCAATGCTTTTAGTCATTAAATCATTTCTCTAGTCTCACTCTAACCTCACAAAAGTTCTTTTAAGATGAAGGAAGAAATTATGGAAAAATGTACAATTTAACATTTTTAATAAATAGTGACGCTGTGTCAATATGTATTTTACCAACTGATGACTGACTAACAAAAAAATGAATTGCTGTTCATGAGCATCCATTTTTCTGTCATTTTTCTGAGCATGTTTGAAACTGGACATGGGTTACATGTACAAGGAATCTGATTTTTCCCTAGAAGTTACTCCATAGTAACTTGCCTTTCAAAAGGACAATATCTAGTTAAGTCTATGATTGGCTGAAATATGCATTCATTTCTCTTAAAAGACTCTATTATTTCTAAGGAAACATTTCTCACTGGAAAAGTAGGGCCATACATGGAAGTCAAGGAGAGAGATTGCAATAAAATGGTACCAGTCCCACAAGCTCAGAGGATAGAAAGAAAAACCTAGAAATGGCTTACATAGATGTTATAAATATTCACTTAATGATAGGAACAAAATGTTTATTTTCATAATGGTGAAATTTTGCTCTGTATGAAATTCACATCAAATTATGAAAATGTACAATAATTTGGATTTCCCTTACATACTTGCAATCAAGTCTACTTATAAGCATTAGTTAGGCAATCTTTAATTATTTAGAGCTAAAAAAGACCCACTTTTTATTTAATGTGGATTATATTTTGTAAAATCCTGCGATATTGTAATAAAATCATTTTCTTATTGTTTAAAATGAAAAATTTTGCTTGGGCATTTTATTTGATGATGTAAATATTCTAGACTCATGGCTTGGACTTTATAAGTCAAACCACCAAGAGTGAGGAAAATGTGTGCCTGTAGAGTTACTTAAAATTTACAATAAAAAAGATTTAAGAGAAATTTAATTGATGCTGATTTTTAGAATTCTGATAGTGTTCTTGGACTTTAACAGATTTATAAAATTGTTATCTCTGTCCTGAGATTAAGGAGTGCAACCACATCAGTTGTATCTTGATTGTTCAGTGCATCAATTGAAATATCAGTTTTATAAATGAGGGAAGTGTAAGCAGCTAAGAAATTATATATACATATATGTGTGTAATATCCTTTCCTATTATCTACCTAAACATGTTAAGCCTCAAACAAACCTATTTGAACTGTTCAGTAGCAATTTCAATGCTGATTGATTTGGTGATAGACACATGGGAATTCACTACATTATCACAGTACAATGACATCCAGATTCCTTACTGCAGAGCTCTGCTTTCCATGGAAAGGACCAGATAGTAAACATTGTAGACTTTGTGGGCCACACACATCTCTTTTGCATTTACTCCTTTGTTTGTGTTTAAAACTGTATAAAGAAAAAAAAACTCACTCTGAGCTCCTGGGCCATACAAAAGCCAATTGCAAGCTGGGTTTGGCTCACAGCTGAGAAATAAATGACCAACCTGTGCTTTGATGGAACTGCCGTTAATTTCCTGTTTCCTCAATAACCCCAGGTGTGTCTTATTTTTCTTATAATTGTCTATATTTGTTATCCCTTTTCATTAACAATTTCAACAAAAGTGTTTCTCTTTTTAAAATTTGATAAGAGTGTTCAGCATTTATGTTTTTAAAGAAAAAGTTTAGGTATGGAGAAATGTTAATTATAAAGTTGAGAAAGGGATTTGTCCAAAAATTTTGACACTGAAAAATATACTACAGTCGGCTATATTCTGGGTTCAATTAGTTACAAATTATTGAACCAAAATTTTCATATTTCTTCTGTGCGTGTGTATATGTGATGTTGACTCTAGCTTGAAAATATCAATAGATCTATTAAGAATTTAATTTATATGTTTAAATTGGAAAAAGTTAAACATAGTTACATATAAAGACCTACATTCTACCCTTCTTAAATGTGATTTTGTACTTTGACTTTTAATTCCATTACTAAGATAGAAACTCCCTATTTTAAAAAAAATGCCAAGACAAGAGCAAATTTGTAATAGGAGGAGGGAAAATGTGCAAATCTCATTGGCCGGTTCAAGTTTGTTCCAAGTTATAGTGAGATTAATGTGAATTGAGAAGGATACAATAAGTAGTATTGGCCATAATCCTGCAAACCATCACTGAGGAATCATCCCAGAGGGACTTCTCCATAGAATTCGACCAACATCTTAAGACCTAAGAAGAGAATCATTATATTCTATTTCTCCCAGGACTCCTTGAGCTAATTTAGATTCCTTCAACACATTGAAAAAAAATGACCTCACCTACCCAAATGCAAATGCAATCTCTGCCAGCAGACATCAGGATTAGACTGAATAGTATAGAAAAATGGGGGGGGGGGGGGGGAGACACGTAATTCAGCCTTTATTTTCAGATTATGTCAAAACTTTGAAACCCAGTTCAGTATTCAAGCATCAACAGGTTCTATGTACCAATTTATAAGCTAAGGAACTTAAGCTCTGAAATGTATTTTCTCTAAAGTAACACAATTCACATCTAGATTTTTATATGCCTACATTTATTTTTTTAATATATTTTATTAATTTTGTACAAAGAAGAAGGGAGAGAGATAGAGAGCTAGAAACATCGATGAGAGAGTCATCGATCAGCTGCCTCTTGCACACACCCTACTGAGGTTATGCCAGCAACCAAGGTACATGCCCTTGACTGGAATTGAACCCCAGGTCCCTTCAGTCCCCCAAGCCGATACTCTATCCATTGGGCCAAACTGGTTTCGGCTGATATGCCTACATTTAGCTGAACTGCTTTCTCTAGATATAGTCTTGTTCTGAAATGAAATTAAAAATAAATTTCAAATATTTTCACTTCCTTCTAAAATACAGTTTTAAGCAAACTGATTTCCCCTTGAAAAGTTATTCTCTGATTTAATATTTGGGAGAAAACTAAATGAATTGATACTTATCTAACATTCAATACATATTTAACCTATGTTCTGTTTTGTCTTTTTAAAGAGAACCTAATTTGATATTAGTCATCCTAAAAACATCTGACTGTTTTATTGCTTTAGGTACTAATTAAGCTTCTAGCCAGATGTGATAAAGAAACTGTGCTTACTCTTCAAGAGGCAATTAGGCCAGGTCAGTGTAGCTCAGTGGTTGGGTGTTGACCTGTGAACTGGGAGGTTGTGGTTTGATTCCCGGTTGGGGCATGTGCCTGGATTGTGGGCTCAATCCCTAGTGTGGGGCATATAGGGGGCACCCGATTGATGATTCTTTCTTATCATTGATGTTGCTGTTTCTCCCTCTCCCTTCCTGTCTGAAATCAATAGAAACATTTTTTTTTAAAGAGGCTGTTGGAAGGACTGTGGAAGAAATTTATGGGCCTAGTATATGTCTCCTGAAGTCAACCCCTCCCCCAAAACACTCAGGGAAACCTAATATTTAAAGCAATAATTTCTAAATTCACAAGGATTTATAATGAAATGATGCTTAGTTTCAACTTACTCTTTACAGAGGGTGGACCATTTGCATCTATTCTATAATTTTCCCAAGTAAAGTTTTAGCAAAAGATTTTAGAAAGCAAACTTATAAGAAAATAAAAATAGTGTCAATTGAAATATCAAAACTATTAAATATGAAGCATTGCTGAGGAATGGGTGAAGCAATCAGCTAACATAACAAATAAGTAGAAATAACCCTCTCACAGCAGATATGCATACAAATGGAAAATGATAATAGACTTGATACAATCAACATATATACAGGTAGGTACAGAACACATGGTCTCTAAATACAAATTAATTCCATCAGATTTACTATATAGGACATCAATGGTGACAGATTGCACTTACTTAATAACATCAAACTTGATTTTGTGGGGGAAAAGGGAGTCTTAAACCAGAAAAAAAAATAGCAAGAGAGGTATCATCAAAGAGCTAAAATTTTCTTTGGCATGATAAAGGGGAAAATTGAGTTTACCAACTTATTTACATGACATGTCTATATTTGTGGGAGATGCAATGCCATTTCATTACATGAAGTTGTTTTTGATGTTTTATAATATGCCTTTCTATAAATATTTTATTCAGTGTGTTGTATTTGTGAATATAACAAATGACATTAAACACAGAAACTGCACAAAGCAGACACTCTCTGTATGTAAATTGAGAAATACATACTAACAGTTCTTGATATCCAGGCGCTCCTACATGCAGTCCATCAGTGCTGCCCTTGTCCCATGCAATAGATGAGACCAGCCACAAAGGAAGTGATCACACTAATTTACAAATAACAAAAACCCCTCTGCTATATGTCTAAACATATTTTGGAAGAAAATATTTTGACATCCATTCATTGGGATAAAGGCCCTTATAGACAACACATATTAAAAAAAAAAAAAGACAAAACAAAACAGGTGTGCACATAAATCTCACTTATTTAAAAAATAAATATTGTCTTAATTTTAGCCATTAAGCAGGCTTGCAGGGGAAAAGAAACCATCAGATGGGGTCTGATTACCAAAAGCAAATTGGTGGGGTTGTTTGATGTGTGTGTTGGGTGGGGTGGGATAGGGTAAGCCCATCTAATTGAAATTTCAAGTTAAATTATTCAGTTTGCCACATGTTACGAAGTATATGTATTCCCTAAATAATTAGTTAATGAAATTCATCTAATACATTTTAACTTATCCTGTTAAAAACAATAGGCATTAAAATGGTATAACAAGAAATCAAGAATGGGAGGAACCATTTTTTTTTGTATTTGTACTTAGGCATAATCAACAATAAATCTACTCAAACATTCTGCTAACTTTTTATTTTATTAAAATGGAATCCAATATGAAAATGAAATAAGCATAAACAGTTAAATTTATACTAAATCTTTAATAAGCTAAGCAGGACAATATTTTAAAATGCTGGGCAAGGGCTGTCATGGAGACTTAGAAAAGCAGTGACAAAATAATTTCCCAGTAAATACAGTGCAAATGTGGGGAAATGGCGACTGGGTCACCCTCCCACATGGAAATAATAAACAAGAGGCCAGGATAATGATCCCACATATACTTTTTCTATAAATGAGGTTCAGTTTGGTCTCAATTAACTCTTCTGAGAACAAAACATTGAATTTTATTAAGTATACACAGAGTTAACAAATATATTTCCAAACAGTTTAGTATTAAACATTTTGAAACTCTTTATATCCAATATTGAACATTTTGCGTAGTTTCTTCACTGTGTAGTCAATAGTCACGGCCTTTCTTGCTAGTTGTCTTCTCTAAGCTCAGAGTTATTTAAAAGGAAACTGAGAAAGCAAAGAAAACAAAAGCAGATTGGTTGAACGGACCGAAAACCTGATGCCTGAACGTGTTGGTTTGCCTTTAATGTGATCTAGAACAATTCGACAGACTGCATTCTGAGCTCATGGCAAGGCACCTCTCTCCCAGCCCTCGGGCAACTCGGGCCCCAAGAAGCTGAGGTAGAGGTATGGACTGGTGAAATACACAGTACCTGACTCAGCATGCTGAGCTAAAAAAAAAATAGTATTTCCTAATGTGTCCGGTTTAAAAACTTGTCGTTAAACACCAAAAAATATTAAAGTCTAATTTGTAACTAAGGTTTGCTTTGCTGCTTCAGAAAAGAACACAACAGCCGCCTTGCCCATGCTCTGCTGAGTGTGAGTGGAACGCAGCCAAAACCCAGATGGCAATACGTTCGGTTCGTTAAAAATAGGAAGGATTATACATCGGAAATGGATTTAGGTAGCGCACTCTTGTAGGTTGTAATTGTTGTTGTTGGTTTGTTTGTTTGTTTGTTTCTCTCTTTTTCCAAATAATGAGGATTAGTAGATGAAAAAAAAATGAACCTTAATCAGGCCTACAAGGCCTACAGAGTTCTTTGGACCCACTTTCTCAAAAACCAGTGGGTCTTGCTCGCTGGGCAAGGCAAATGTTACCATTACCAGTAAGCTTGTGATATGTATAAAACACACACATACACACACACAGAAACTAGAGGGGCATGTCAAACACATATCGTGGAGAACTTCTCACGGACTGTGTTTGAGCCATTTCTCGCCCCCGGCAACGCCGACCTCAGGAGCACAGGACCTGCCACTGAACAGACCGTATATGTGTGTTTAATTGATCGTGGGAGCCACAGACAACACTCTGAATCTTTATGATGCAATTTGTAATAATAGGTTTAGAAGGCTTCCCGATTCCCTGATGCTCTCCGAACTAAGCCAACTGCAACGTTTAAGATTTGGAGGAGCACAATCCCTGCAAAAAGGTCACAGACAGTGGAGCGCGCAGCCCTGTAAAAAACGGGAGGAAGAGAAATCCATGATAGCACAGGTTTTACAGCTTCTAACTAGAAATTACTCAATAGTATCCGTGTGCTACAAAAGTGAACTTAAACACATGGATGTTGCTGAAACAGGACTCAAAAAGGATTATGGGTAGCTGTCAGCAGGCAAGGTATCTCGAGTGAACTTGTGAAGTAGGTCATTCACATGAAGTGTCACAGTCACAGAAAAGATATTAAAAAGGCATTCCGTATCTGGTAGGGCATTCCATGGTCTGAGTTTAGCTGGTTATCCAGGTGTCTTCTTGTTGTGGGAGGTGCAACAGGTTGAGATTCATCCTCTTGCAACCAAGAAGTTCGAGACAGCAGAGAGCAAGCATCCGCTTACTACCAGCTGCTCCTCAGCCACGGGAGCAGAAATGTCTGGCAAGGATAAATCACTCAGCTGTGCTCGGGACCAGTAAGTCACAACCCCTGTGAGGATCTGGCTATGTGGTCTTACTTTTGTTGACTGGTTTGCCTCCATTCATTATTGCAGACGCGCTTGTGCTTTTACTTGGCGTCACCCCAGCCTTCGGGACCGTTTCTCCGACGTCATGCAAAGATGGTTCTCGGTACATGGCAACTGGTGACAGGAAGGAGGGCAGGAAGAAAAGGGGAAAAGGAAATGTTACCAAGTTCAGGTCAAGAATTAGTACAGGCACGCACAGCAGCGGTTTGCCCTGTCCTGCTTCCCTGAAGTAAAGCAATCCCGGCGGGAGGGATGCCTGTTTTAAAGCAGCAATTTCCCGCCCCCAAATAGAAGCTATTACTACCTGCACATTCTCTGGCTTATATAACTAAAGCATGCACATAGATGTGCATGATGTTTGTCCAGGAAAGAAGGTTTAAATGGGAGACATAGCCTCTCTGAGGGCCTAAGATATGAAACACACACACACACACACACACACACACACACAGAGGATATACAGTATAGGAGAATGGCAAGCTTAAACCTAATTCTCTTTACATAGTGAGGAAAACTCAAACTTCCCTCACACTGCACACAGTCAACACTTGTACGACTCATTCCTATTCATCTTGTCAAGTATTTACACCCTGGATCATCAAGTTACTTTTCTCTCAACTCACATAGTCACACTAAGTGTCAACATCCAAGCTATACAAAGCAATAACAAAGAATTAGCTTTCCTTAATCAGGGCCTTCAAAGGTCATTGTTTCTATTTTCTCTCCCAGGATTATGAAAAAAGACCCTTAAATAAATGAAGGCAACTGTGTGGCGGTTTCTATTTTTACGCCTCATTTTCTGATATATTATTAAACATTTAATAAGTGATGTCATACAAGGCAGAATCACAGAATGGCAAGAGAGCGAGTGGGACTGATATCTGGTAAGCTCTGAGAAATGGCCACACACTTAACCACAAGAGTTCATGTGGCTTTTTGGAAAACGATTCTCAAGAATCCTGGGGAAAAAACATTTAAGAGTGACTGATTCTTGGGGAAAACTAGCTGAGTTAAAATCATCTGCCATCAGAAACACAGTGTATTAGACTGCCCAACCTGCTTTTTTAGGCTTTTGAAAGTTTATGATGCAGCAGGTCCTAGAATAATGTAATTTACTTCCAGTCCATCCTCTGTAATAAAGAGGGAATGTGCTAATTGACCATCACTCCATCATAAAGATGGCTGCACCTACAAGCTGAGGCCAAGTTCCCTTAGGGAGTCTTAACCAGCAATCAGCAGGCACCTGAGGCTACACCCTCTTCCAGCTCCATGGGTCTTGACAGGGGACCTCAGGCCATGCCCTCCCGCCCTGGTGTCAGGCTGGGGGACCTCAAGCTGTGCTCCCCACCCAGTGTGGCTTGATGGAGAACCTGAGGCTGCGCCCCCCTCCTGGTGCCAGGCCAGGGGAACTAGGCCACACCCCTCGCCCTAGCACTGGGCCAGGGTCCTGAGGCTGTGCCCCCTACCCAGTGGGGCTTGACAAGGATGTACAGGCTGGGTCTGGATCTAGCCCAATGAGTGGGCGGGTCTGGTCTCACTCGATTTTGAGGCCCATGTGGGTGAGTGGGGACTTGACTCTGGGTCCCCCTTTTAATGTGCACAAATTTCATGCACTGAGCCTCTAGTTTCATTATAATGTTGATGGGAAAAAATTGATTCCCAGCTGGGGCTACATCTGTGTGGAGTGTGCACATTCTCCCCATGTCTGTGTGGACTCTCTCCAGGGGACTCAGGTTCCTCCTGCATCCCAAAGATGTGCACATCAGTGGACTGGGGTGTCTACACTGTCCCAGACTGAGGGGGTGGAGGTGGGTGTGAGTACTCCTGTGATGAAGGGGTGGGTCCCAACTTGGGCACTGAGCTGCAGGGTTAGGCTCCGCCATCCTTGACGCTAAACTGGAATAAGTGGGTTGGAAAAGAATTCTCTTGTTTTTATTCATCTTTCTTAAATGTATGGGTAGCTCAAATTCATTTCATTGTTTATTCTTAAATGTGTAATGGGTCTTTATTTAGAAGTTTGGTGATATTTTTGTGACCAGAAATATGCAGTGGAAACTAAACTCTTAGTTATACTAATTATCTTAAAATTGGTTTCATTAAATGCTATTTTGCTTAAAATTTCAGTTTCCAAGAACTTATAGATAATGCAAAGTGTGGTCTTACTGTACTTTATGAAGAGATCTTATGTTTAGTTGGGAAGAACTACCACATACATTCTCCATGTTCAAGGAAGTAGAAGTTTATTTTTTGCATCAATGGATCATGTGATTTTTTAGTAGCACACATATTTGAAAGTGCTTGTGTACATCAGACCTATATTAAATGACTTGGCAAGGTGGTAAAAGGGATTCATCCACAGTCCTTTAAGCACTTTCCAATTGCTTACCAATTCAGTTAGGAGACAACAGCATCAGAGCATTAACCTTGTCTAATATGAAATTGTATAAGAGATATGAATGTCCCAGAGCATTAAGGATTAATTAAATAGCTAATTTGTCCTAACATTCTGATGATATAATTTATATGCTGTGTGAGTCTTGAAAGCTTGAAATTAATTTCCTCTATCAATTGCACTATGTGATAATCTCTATCACTCCAATATACCCTTAATTGTTTATTTTAGAGTACTTCTATCTGCTAATTATTTGAAAATACTGTTTCCCTCTTCCTCATATATACATATAAACAACACATGCACACAACAACAGTTCAGTGTGTGACTAAAATACAAGTGATATTATTACACCACACCTTTAGACTCTCAAGATATTTCTTGTTGGTTATACCAAAGATCTGGTTTCTATAGTTTACTTCAGATAAGAGAAACATAAGGGACATTTTTGGTTTTCATTACATTTATGCAGCTAAGAAACAAATTTTTAGAAACTTAGTCAATTCTTAACTGCCCATATTAAAAAAGTTAATATAAAGAGACAAAGTTAGGAAGTGAAAAAAATCAAGATATCTTTAGAGCTTTCATTGACAGTCTTTAAATTTTTCACTTGCTTTTAAATAGTGGTGAGTCTGATGGTTTCAAAATTCACTTAAAAGAGTAAAGCAAATGCGCCAGTGTGGCTTAGTGTTTGAGCTTGACCTATGAACCTGAAGGTCATGGTTTGATTCACCATCAGGGCTCAAGCCCAGGTTTGCAGGCCCATCCCCAGTGGGGGGGTGTGCAGGAGGCAGCTGATCAATGATTCTCTCTCATCATTAATGTTTCTATCTCTCCCACTCCTACCCTCTCTGAAAACAATAAAAATATTTAAAAAACAAAAGATTGAAACAGATCATAGAGATGTTATTTTAGAACAACAGAGAAACCCTCTAATTCCTTATTTAACCTCTAATTTGTCTTATGATTTATCATATACTAGTAATAAGAATAATTTACTAATTTTTCAGAATCTGGAAAATTTTTTCTTTTCTTAGATAGGCCCTGCTGATTAATCATTTGGGTTTTAATGACTTGTTCTCCAGGCAAATTTAGTTAAGGGTGATAGGAAGTCAACATCATTGAAATTATAAAGATGGTATTAATCAACAAGAGTAGTTACCAAACTTAGGCAAACTGAAAGATAATTATACATTGACATATAATTAATATTTAACTTCCAATGTTTCAAATTATCTTATTCCTTTGTAAAGAATATTGATTATTAAACCAATGTGGATTTTTTTTTCTTTATGGTTAAGGCTTTCCTGCAGGAATAAAAAAACAAACAGAAAATCAAACCTTCTAAACTAGTTTAAAATGTTTATTTAGTTTTGTAGATCAAATTTTCTGTGAATTTATTAAATATAAAACATTTCTGAAAAGCCTCAGTAACATTCTGTAGTTCTCAAATAAATTTATATAGGTAAAAGTAAATGACACTTCTGGCAGAATCCTTGATGAAAAAGTGCAGATACTTCTGATTAATTAACAAAAGTTTAGAGCATGCTCTCTGAGAATCTGATAAAAGTAAATGCCTTCATTGTTTATAGGAGAATGTAAAATAAAGGTAACACCACAACTAAGAATATTAAACAATTATGCAGTGTGGAAGGAAGATATGTAAATCAACAAGTTCTTTAAAGGAAAAGTTATTGACTCTTCATTTTCTGTATTTTTTTTTAATACTCTTTATTTATTTTTTACAGAGAGGAGGAGAGAGGGATAGAGAGCCAGAAACGTCGATGAGAGAGAAACATTGACCAGCTGCCTCTTGCATACTCCCCACCGGGGATGTGCCTGCAACCAATGTACATGCCCTGACCGGAATCGAACCTGGGACCTTTCAGTCCACAGACCGATGCTCTACCACTGAGCCAAACCGGTTTCGGCCATTTTCTGTATTTATAATCATTCATAAGAATATGATTTTACTTTAATCTAGATAACATAAAAATGAGTAAGTGTATTTATCCTGTAATACTCAAAACTAAGTTTTTCTAATATGCCTATTATCACATCACAGATTTGTAAAGTTATTACCAATTTTTTAAATGTTAAAGTTAATTAAAATTTTCTAGGAACAGAGAGGTTGAGGCAGTGAGAATTTGAGACTTTAGACATAAAGTCTAAAGACAGAGATAGACAGAGATAGAGTTTTGCTGGAATTTTTTAAATTAATGGATTTTATATGTGTAGGTATATCTGTGCCTACACATATAGACACAGATATACCTATACACAATAAAGTGTACAACTTACGTAGACACCTGTGCAACCACCATGTACGTCAAAATAAAGAGCATTTCCAGAGGGTTCCTGTGGCCACAGCAGAGCTGTCAATGTGAAGAATAAATGTGTACTAAATCTGATAAGTATACACACAGAACGCTCACCTTCCAATGGTTTGGGTAGAAAATGAGCTGCTGGTTTTGTTTTCTTTACTCTGTTTCCTTTCATAACTTGCCCTTCTTTATTCAACCCCAAAAACCAGGCTCTACCAGATTCTTGTTGTCTGTACAGCATAGATGAGTAGATTACATAATAGTTTTCAAAAACAGATTCTTTAAACTTGCATTCAGGGGTAAAAAGTTCCTGCCAAGAGAAAAGGAAGAAAAGAAGGTTAGAGGAAGGAACGGGGTTTCACTGTGGTTTCTCTTCTTTCCTCCAGGAGTTTGTCCACCACGTTGAAGGAGTCAGCTCTGGGTCAGGGATGGCCACATGCACCTCTTCCTACATGCACGACTTATCCATACACTTTTCCAATACACAATATACAATGAATAGAGAATCTGCCGTTATCAAGAATATATTTATAGACAAAAGTACAAGTGTTCTTTAATAAGAAAATAGAAGTCATAAGCAAACTCAAAGCATCTTTTTACTTGAAAAACAATGCAATCCAAGTATAACCAGAAAGAAGACCACAAAGCAGTATCATATCCACAGCATACTAAACAAATATCAAATATATATTTCAGGTGTTTGTAATCCATAGGGACAGTTATGATACCCTAATAGCAGCCAGTTGTTCATTAGATCACTGGTATTAGAGGGTGATACATTTTACCAACAAAGAGACAAATGAAAACCCCAAACTAAAATCACAACTATCAGCTGGCACACCCAAGAGCTCCTATTGCTGAGTCTAGGTGTGCTAGCTGGTCAGAGTGACAGAGATGAAAATAATTTACCTAATTCCATGGTTTGGTGCCACATTGGAGAAAAATATCCAAAGGTGCCCTAACTGAAAACAATGAGATAAGTGCTATAACTCTCAGTGCCATGATCTATAGTGATTGATGAGTAGCACAAAGCTTTATTATTATACTTTATGATTATCATTGAGTTTTATTGTCATTTTTAAAAATATCACTCTACTTGAAAAAAAAAATTACCTTAATAGGTTTTTATGACTACAGAAAAAACTAACTTTCATTTTTTCTTTTAAAACATAATTTTCTGTTTTATTTATATTTATTTATTTATATATATTTTAAAAATATATTCTTTAAGGCCTAAAAATTAAAACTTTTAAGAGTTGAAGTTATGTAACCATAATAAGGAATTTGATATAATTGCCAGTAGAAACTTTCCTTCAATATTTCCCATGAGAGTATGAATTATCAACTAGTGTCTCTTGCAGGTTATAATTTATGCAGAATAACCCATAACTCTAATTAATCCACTGAAAGCAAATAGTTTGCCAAGAGGAAGATCCTTTTTATGACAAAAGTGGAAAATCCAATTATTACTTGATGATAGCAGAATAGCCAAAAGATAGGCTTAGCCTCCTTCCAAAGGAATTATGTAGACCTTCACTTTTTCTAGATGATTCTACCTCAGGCATGATGATGATCCTGTCAAAATAAATGTTCTGGCCTTCTACTAAATTCTATTTCTCCAAATACCCTCTTATTGGATCTCTCACTAATAAATAACACTCTCTCCCAGTCAATCTCCAGACCTGCCTCAGAGGAAAGATTAGCAAAAGGGGGCTTGTTCATACATTTGTGGTGAGGAAAATAAAATGAAACATTGTAAATCTGGCTTATCCTCAAAAGACTAATAAATATAATATACTAGAGACCCAGTGCACATATTCATGCACCGGTGGGGTCTCTCAGCCTGGACTGCACCCTCTCCCAATCTGGGACCCCTCAGGAGATGTCGGACTGTCAGTTTTGGCATGATCCCCTGCTGCGGTCGACATCCCCTAAGGAATGTAGCAGTGCCGGAAGTGGCAAGTGGCCAGGGAGGAGCCCAAGCTGGGGCCAGGCACTGCTCACACTCATCCCAGCCCCACTGTGCCTGCTGCTGCCACCACCACCACTCGTTGGTAGTGCTGCCACAGAGGCAGGAGATGCTCCACATGTGTAGCTGTGCTCACCAGCCTTGAGTCCGGCTTCTGGCTAGGTGGCATTTCCACTGTGGGAGTGCACTAACCACCAGGGGACAGCTCCTGCACTGAGTGTCTGCCTCCTGGTAGTCAGTGAGCATCATAGCTACCAGTCGGTCAACTGGTTATTTGCCAGTTCGTTCATTTTGAGGCCCAGGGCACAAAATTCATGCATAAGGGGGTGTCCCTCAGCCCAGCCTGCACCCTCTCCAATCGGGGACCCCTCACATCTCACAATCCAGGATTGATGGCTCCCAACTGTTTGCCTGCCTGCCTTCCTGATTGCCCCTAATTACTTCAGCCTGCCAGCCTGATCACCCCCTAACCACTGCCCTGCCAGCCTGATTGATGCCTAACTGCTTCCCTGCCAGCCTATTTGCCTCTAATTGCCCTTCTCTGCAGGCCTGGTCCCCCTCAACTGCCCTCCCCTGCTGGCCATCTTGTGTCCACATGGGGGCAGCCATCTTGTAGTTAAAGTGGTCAATTTGCATATTACTCTTTTATTAGATAGATGCCTGGTGCATGGGTGGGGACCAGCTGGTTTGCCCTGAAGGGTGTCCTGGATCATGATGGGGGTTCCCTTGGGGAGTGGGGCAGCCTAGGTGAGGGGCCTGTGATGGTTTGCAGGCTGGCCATGACCCTTGGTGACCTGAGTAGTGGGCCTTGTATCTGGGATTTCTTTATCTTCTATAATTGAAACTTTGTAGCTTTGAGCAAAGGCCAAAGCAGGCCAAGGCTACAGAAGCTTAGCTTCCTCCATCGCCAGGGGAAACTCAAGCCTCCTGCTCTCTCTGTGGCCACAGCCATCTTGGTTGGGTTAATTTGCATACTTGCTTGTGGGTGGAGTGGAGTGATGGTTAATTTGAATATTTCCCTTTTATTAGATAGGATAGATTGGTTGAAAGTGCACCTTCTAGGACAAACAGAAGAGATTTATCTTTTTATTGAGATATACCAAGACATCCAAGTATATTATTTATATTACTTATTAGTTAAAACCTATATCAAATCTAGCTTATGCAAGCTGAGGTCATTTAGGGGTCAGAGGAGCTTCTGAAAACCAGCTCTCTGCCCAACAACTGGCTCACCTTATTGAAAGGATCATTGATGACTGATTTTTTTTCTAGAGAAACAAGGGCCTCCAGCTTTGGAAATTCAGACCTATAGGGTAGTCAATCCTTAGTCTTATCTGATCCCCCGCTGAAAAAATGTAAGAAACATGGAGGATACTGCTTGTATTAGCATTAGAAAATTGGAAATGTCTTGTCTTCACTCTAAGTTTACTACAAGGAATATTAAAGAGAAGGAAGACAGTTGATGTGGAAGAAATTACTCTTTCTCTGAGTATACCTTAAGGACATCTGACAGTGAGTATTTTTACCAGTAGATAAAATACTGCATCTTAATATTCTTAGGTAGCCAATCCCACACCCCCTTTCTGTGAGTGGTGCCAGAGGTTTCATAAATAGGTGATTCTTTCAGTCTCCTTCAGTGAGAGCCATTCCTTCAGTTGCTTGTGATGGTAGAGACTGGTCAGTATATTTTCAGTCTTCTTTATTCTTGGTTAAATAACTAATATATGCACAAATGTACTACATTCAAAGGCACTATTCCCTAATACATTTTGTTAAACTACTCAAGAATTTAATCTGCTCATCAATTATTGGAGCACAGAAAGAATCCCTGCATTCTCAGAAGTACTTAATGAAAATTAAGATTAGTTATTATTTATTAGTGGTCATAAGGGACAAATATACATAAATGGGAGGCAGTGGAGTAAAGTGTCTATGAACACCATCTGTGCAACCAGATCTCCTGGGACTCAACCCTGACCCCACTTCTTACCAGCTGTGTCCTTGGGGAAATTACTTATTCTCTGGCCTTCAATTTCTGCTTCTCTAAAAAGAGTACAAACCCATAGAATAATAGAATGCTTGAGTGAATTAATACATGTTATTATTTAGAAGAGAATGTGGTATACAGTACATACTCACTATTTATTTAAAAAAATTCTCCATCACTTATAATCTAAAATACAACTAGTATCAATTATTTCAATTCTATTAATATTTCAATAAGTGAAAATTTAGGTAAATAATTAGTCAATGAGCAGAGTTAGGCTCAGTATCAGATACACCAAAATGAACATATAAAAAGCAAACAAGATTCTTCACTGGTAGAATGTTGTTCAAAGTCTTGTGATTAGAAAATGACAGTACAGTGTAATATCTGTTGTGATAGACTTACCTTCAAAATGCTAGAGGGATGATAGGCGTAATAAGTGGTGTGAAAGACAGTGGTGGGAAATGCCATGGTACATTTGAAGAACTATAATTAATCCATTACTAAGGCTTTGTGGGGGCAGCACTGGATAGTAAGATGGGTTGGATGAATGTGACAAAGGATCTTGGACACTCTGATAAACAGACTAATTTCTTAGAAGCAAGAGATAGATGTAAAGGATTCTTAAATAAGCAAGGGCATAATGGCATAGCCTGATTAGAAATTACATAATTTCTGGTCTTCAGTTTCTGACTCTCTAAAAAGTATACAAAACCATAGGATAATAGAGTGGTTGGGAGGATTGAGTGAATTAATACCTCCTATATAGTAAAAGGCTAATATGCTAAGTATACGGTCATCCTGTCCTACATTCAACCAAAGCATAATATGCTAATAATATGCTAATAATATGCGAAGGCAGTGGTTCTCAACCTTTCTAATGCCATAACCTTTTAATACAGTTCCTCATGTTGTGGTGACCCCCAAACATAAATTTATTTTTGTTGCTACTTCATAACTGTAATCTTGCTACTGTTATGAATTGTAATGTAAATTTCTGTGTTTTCTGATGGTCTTAGGTGACTCACTCTGCTAGCAATTTCCTGCTGTTGTAGAGCCTAAGACCATTGGAAAACACAGATATTTATATTACAATTCATTAACAGTAGCAAAATTACAGTTATGAAGTATCCCTGGAATCCAATTATGCACCAGTGGGGTCCCTTGGCCTAGCCTGCACCCTCTGGCAATCCGGGTCCTCTCAGGGGATGTCGGAGAGCCAGTTTCGGCCCGACCCCACAAGCCAGGCCGATGGAACCCACTGGTGCACAATTTGTGCACCAGGCATCTAGTGTTATATATTTAGAAGAGAATGTGGTATAAAGTAAGTACTCACTACTTAATCTAAAAAAAA